TGTTTGAGGAAGCTCCCATTTATTAACATTTCAACAAACAAGTTGCATATTTGCATAACGTATTCAAGTGTTAGCATTTAGTGCAATAGTAGCTACAGAACATGTACTGTGCTGTGTAAACTGTACTGTATCACATAGCGTTTCAGACACACAAACTTTTCAACTTTCAAACTTAAACGGTGCGCTCCCAGCGCACGTACCGGCAGTGATCTACAGCAGTGGTTTTCAACCAGTGGTACGGGGACAAACTGTCTCGCTCTCGTAATGTCTGTCTGTCTTGCTCTCGTTCTGTCTCTCGTACCACTCTCGGTTCCACTTTTACTTTTGCGTGCTACCTGTCTCACTCTTTTCCGGCCTCCAGCTTTTCCTGCTGGAGCCCGCCGCTTAAAGGTGGGGGGCGCGGACCGGCCATAGAGTCCATAGAGTTAAAGGTGGTGGACTGTAACCTGTAAAATCCATAGATTTAGGAGGTCCCCTAGTGGCCGTTAGCTGTAAAAATCCATAGATTAGCCGCACCGTTATATAAACCGCAGGGTCGAAAAATGGGAAAAAAGGCACGGCTTATAGTCCGAAAATTACGGTAACCACTTCCGGTTCCTTCGACAAAAACCAATGCATTTCTCCATAGGATTTTGGAAAATAGCTCGAAATAAGGTCTGTGGTTGACACAAATTGAAGAGACAGATCACGTTTTGTTCAGCCGGATAATATCCACATGTCTACCCTACTTTTATAATTTTCTAATCATAAATCTAATCAATAGATTTATGCTTTTTGTCGAAGAAACCGGAAGAAGTTTACTTCCGGGTTTTAGGACGCGTCACTGTGGCGCTCTATTATTACATCAGTATGGGTGTAATGATTGTATTTGTCATAGCTGCTTCTTTCAATCCATACAGTGTCACAAATAAGCTCTACATTTTAAACAGCAGCCTACTTGTGTCCCACTACACTAGGTTTGCTTGTCAGAAAAGTCTCAAATTATTAGAGGACACTGGAGGCGGGATGAGCATCTACAGTATGTCAATATCAGCGAAGGTGCACTAACTGATTACCCATCAGTGTTCAGACAAATAGATAACTTATGAGATGCATCATCTATTCCAGGATGTGTGATAACACAGCTTTGACATTTACAAGGTACTGTGGTGAAAGATTTAAATCATTGTAAACATGCCATACATACACGGAGACGCCATCTTTGAATAGTATATTACCACTCACACACATACAACACAGGTCCCATAAAGTTAGCATTCACAGAACATGTGGTGCCAAGCTCCTCGTGGCGCAGATGGTACAAACAGAGAGAAAAGGAAAAGATGGATGGAGGGAGGGGAGGAAGGAACCAATAAAAGAGGTCTGTGACACCTCTCTCTCTGCCCACACTAAAGCTGCCCATTATCTAATCCTTCACACCATGGATGGGGGGACAGGGATGGTCAGACAGGCAGAGAAAGCAAGACATACAGTAGATGCCAGAAAAAGACAGGCCCCAAACGTCATCAGAGTTGTGTTCTGCGGCGGGAAAACAAGGCATCATTGTACTGAAGGGGTGATGGAACTGCTCTCTCTCTCTCTGTCCGCCAAGCCTGACTCAGAGCTACCAGGGCGGCCAAGTCAGAGCCGGGAAATGCCTAAACTACTACTTATGTACTAACCAATAAAGTGACTCTAACTCAACATGATTACAATAACAGGACGGAAGACATTCAGGCTCTTACCTAAATTACAATCTCCACTGTTATCTGACCATAAAGATAGTTTGGGGTTTTATATTCTCAGCTGTTGACATAGCAACTTCGATTTCTGCCTTACCACCAAAACAATGGAGTTGGAATTGGTGATGCAAACAGCCATACATTAATATTACGTTTTAAAACAGCTACTTGTCTTTCTAGAAACAACGACCAGTTAATCCACAGTCCTGGAACTACTTTTTAACGATAAATAGTCCCCATTATAACTGGAAACAAGTGTCTACTGTTGATTATCACTCGTAATGGAAATGTTACTGGAACTGTGTCACTGTTGCACATATTCTTTGCTCATGCTAGCATAACAATCTAAATGTAAGTTATCTACATCACATTGCATGAAGCAACTAATGATAAGTGGGAAAAAGCGTTTTTTGGATTTGGGTGAACTAACTTTAACATTTAAAATAAAACACTTTAAACTGATTGTCCATGGACCTAAACATGTGAGAGTTCAAAACGATATTAAGGAGTGTACATATGGGCCAGACATAGAGATACAAAAGCAAGAAGATATTAATGATGGTCTGAGCGCCAACTGACATAGTGATATCTTTCACCATATAAATAAATCACTTCTCTTTCGGCATCTCATGAACCTCCTTTATCTTCTGCTTTGTTTTAAGCAACAAATCAATGCCGTCATTATAGCTTTACCTAAAGATATCTTTGAGAAAGTATGAACAATTCCCTTTCAGTAGCTATAAAAGGACTTATTGGAAGCTGCAGAAACAAGGTCTGCTGAACACATAATGTTTAAATCATCCAGAAGGTATCCTTTTTGAGACAGTGGTGGGGAAACTCAGAACAGAGTTTGTTGGTTTTGACAGAGGTTCACCATATAGCAGGGGCATGAGACAGAAGTCCACATCTGGAATGAATTCAACACCACACTAAAACTGCATGCCAGGCTAAAAATAATGCAAATCCTTGCAGAGAAGAAGTAGAACATTGCAATAAGATAAAACTTGTGTTACACAACTTCTTGAAAGAGCAATAGGTGGTTGAGGACTAAAATTCCCACTGTCCACATTAATGATTGATATGACAACTCAGCAGGGTAAAATCCCATGGAAAGGCTCGATAGAGATAAACACACATCACGTGCACACACTTAAAAACTGAGAGAGAAATAACAGTAAGAGCAGTGTGTGTGTGTGTGTGTGTGTGTGTGTGTGTGTGTGTGTGTGTGTGTGTGTGTGTGTGTGTGTGTGTTTTGGCTGCACAACGGTAAGGTATTTAGGTCATGCTCCTGCCTGTGCAAAAGGAAGACTGCTGAATGTCAGAGGTCAGCATCATGTGTATTCAGTTGCAAAGACAACAGAAGAAGAGAGAGGAGAAGGGAGGGTCTGGGAGGAGAGGCAGCGTAGAAAGAAAAGATAAATATCTCCAGTCCTCCCATGACATTCCAGCTGGAGCAACTAACTTCAACAAAAGGGTGTGAGAGGTGAGGGGCAGAAGGACTACACACACCTGTGCACGCTTAAACAGCAGGTAACACACTTCTTGTTGCAGAATTCCTGAATAGAAAGTTAACACCCTCGACTGAATGACCAAGAAACTCATCTCCACACACATCTGTCCAACATAACCAGATACAAGGATTAACAGTATACATATTTGCTAATGCAGATAAAGATGAAGGACTGCCCTCATCACCTTGATGCACACTTACATGCGCAGGAAGAATAAAGGCACACTTGCACATACTGTAAATTCTTCTCCATGATCCCACTGACAGACCAGACCCAAGCAGTGTCACAGAGACACTATATATCTCCGACGACAGCCCATGGTCGAAAATAGAACCGTCAGACAAAAACTGAGAGGGAGACATTACCAACCTGCTCTTTCTGTGGACATGCAGCCCACATGGTGCCTTGTCTGGTCAATCCTCTTTCTGAATGGACGTCAATACTAAAACACTCTCTCTGAAGAAGAGCAGATACCG